TCCCGTAGCCCGGAGATTCTTCGCACCCCCTGCCCCGCCTTTACCGTGGTCGCCACCATGACCAGGAATAGCGGGGCCGCCGGGAACTGGGGGCCGTGGCCTTTGTTGCGTCTGCATGGGAGGGGTTTGCCCATAATCGCCACGCTGGGCAGGCGGGTTGGCGATCGCAGGGCGTAGCTTGTCGCACCGGTAACGCTGCTGCCCGTCACCGGCCTGTTGTATTTAGCTACGCCTATTGGGATGGATATACCGCCATCGGTCGGTCGCTAGAGCCTCGTTCGTCGTTCAGTAGGATGCACCGCGGGCAGGTGAGGTTGGCTTGGGGCGAAAGATGGTGGTTCGCCTCTCACACCCCAAGATCAAGATCAAGATTAATCAAGGCGACATCACATTGCAATGTCTTAGCACAACCACATAAAATCCACCCCAATCGTGTATTCTGGGCAATTGGTGTGCACTATTTTCTTCTCCTCTACAAATTCCATCTAATAGGATCGAGGAATAAATATCGGCTCCAAACAGAATGACCACTGGCCGACTTATATAAAATTCAGGATCAGCTAAGGTGATATAATCTAAATACGACCAATTTGGTTTAGCGAAGGTATTGCTTGGTAGATTTTTTATAAGGTTTTGCATGACGATGACGTCAGTATTAAACTCGTAATTATAGTTCAGTGATGTGCATTTGATATTAATAGCTCCTTTGCAACTTGTTTGCTTGGCAACACCTGTAATCATGCCGTGGCATTTTGTACGACTTAGTCCTAGTCGTTGCGCGGCAATTTCAAGTGCAAGATTTTGTGTTGTATTGCAATGAGTCCCGCTGATTTTATTTTGAAAGTAACAATATTAGTTTTGTTGTGGAGAGTGTGTGTTTGTGTGAAATTAGGTTTCTTACTAGTGTTTTAACATTCATAATGCCGCGAGTGACCTTTACAGCCGCGGAGTATACTGACATGGTTCAAATTTATGGGAAACGCCATCAAAACGCTTTTTTAGCTTAACGTGTTTGTCCTACAGACAGTCGAACTTTTGTTGTGGTTGTCAGGAAGCGGCTTAATCACATTTTTTGGTGAACAGTGGATAGGACGCTATGGGCCTACACGATGGCTACCTAGATCACAAGATCTCACACCTTTAGACTTTTTTTTTGTAGAGATGTGTTAAAAATGAAGTGTATAATTAGTGCATTTGATAAAATAAGAGCTTTAGCTTTTAGAATGACAACTTGTGTGCTAAAATACGGGAATACATATGTATTCGATGCATTGATGTGAACTAAACACATTGAAAACCTGAAACATTTAAATTAGATTTACATTAATTTGATATACTATTGTATGTATGATGTACTAAACTGGTGTACAATAAAGTTTATTCTATTCTATTTTATTAAATAAAATTTTAAGGAAATATTGATTTAGTGACTAAAAACTGTTGCGAGCGGTATTCATATTTTAATAAATTGATAAAGTGATTTTAAATAAAAAGCAAGTGAAGTAACTGATTAGTGATAAGAATTTAATATTCGGTGCCTTCGCGTTTTGACGTTGAACTGTGTAATCTGTCATTCAAAGGTTTGTCATAACTCTGGTGCCACGGTGCTACATACATAGATAGTGCGAGAAGTCTGTTACCGGGAGACCTGGGGTGACAGATGGAAGAGAGACGGGAACAGGGTTTAGGAGATGATTTTCTCACTGCCGGTCGAGCAGGCTCACAAGACCGATCTACTGACGGCTAAAGGTGTCTTGGCCGCAGTAAGAGGTGGGACAGGGTAATGAGTCAAAGTCGGATTAGACAAAATGACTGATTTATTTACATAATAATACATCTTAAATACTAAACTTACTTTAAGTACACATGGATGGTTTTTTGCTTGTGTGCCATCCGTGTGTTGTGTTGTTTTGCCTTAATCTCGGTCATGCCGAAATGTTGCCAGTGCATCGACTTTACGCCGCACCACGTGTGACATAGATGCTGTTGCTGGGTGATGCAATTATGTTCATGACTGAACAGTTAAGAATTCCTCGATGAATTCGGATTTTGACTGCCTACGTGTGAAAAATATGTACCGACTCATTGTTACATTTTTTCGTGGCTCGAAGAAATCATCGAATCTTGACTTGACTAGACACAATATAGTGTCTTCGATGTCCATATTGAAAATGTTAAATATGTTGAGACCTTTTTCTCCTATTAGGTTTAAAAATATTGCGATCTTTCGCTTCTCACCTGAGTTTTCCAGACAAGTGGCCAACAAATACAACTCCAGTTGCTGCCACCAGTTTTCCCAAACTTGCGCATTGTTATTAGTGGTATCCGACGTGATCTGCAGCTATTTTACTGCCGTATTGAAATTTACCTCGCGGCCATCTTAACTACCTCCATTTTTTTATTTCGACATCGTTTCTTCGCTACGATTCTTCTTTCGATCCCACTTCTGACACCAAGTTGTACTCTCGTATGAGATGAAGACGATAAATAAGAAAGACTTTACCGTATTATATTATCATATAATCAGCGTATCAATTAGTATGATTGGACAGCAGAGCAATGCCGCCCGAGTATGTACATCTTGCTAGGTGCCTTAGTTACAACAGATGCCATTTCGCAAGAAGCCTGAAGAGGCTCTGGGAGACTCTTACCACATTGCTAAAAGGCGATTTTTTAATTAATAAATAATAATAATAATATATCACTTTATTGTACACCAGACATAAATATACATAATTACCTTAAACTAGTTCAGTGCAAATGGCGGTCCAAAAAAGCTTATAAGAAAAAGTGTGACCTTGTCGACTTAGTAGAAGTTAATTGACGTTGCCGTCTTCCAGGTAGTACTCTTTCACTTGTTTCTTAAAGGAGGCAAGTGATTGTGCCCGTCTGATTGCGACCGGTAGGGTGTTCCACAACCGAACTGCCTGGACAGAGAAGGAATCCAGGAATTTTGAGGAATGTTCCGGCATTTTTAGTTTTGACGATCTCAACAGTTTGGAGTGTGTGTCATTCAAGAACGTAAACCGTGATTTGAGGTACTGTGGAGTAGAAGGATTAAATAGAATACTATAGAGAAGAGAAAGAATATGTGCATTCTGGCGAAGGCGAATGGGTAACCACTTAAGCTTTTTGCGAAATTCAGAAACATGATCATATTTGCGAAGTCCAAATATAAATCTTATGCAGAGATTTTGGAGCCTCTCAAGCTTATTCAATTTGTCTTCAGTAAGGTCTAGATAGCTGGCATCAGCATAATCAAGGATGGGGAGAAGAAGGGATTGTGCAAGAGTAATCTTGGTAGTAATAGGTAGAAAGTTACGAAGTCGGCGCAAGGACCCTGCAGCGGCAAACATTTTGCGACTCAGCTCTTGTAACTGAGGTCCCCAAGATAAGGTAGTATCAATGATAGTAGTTATGATTGACGATTCTCAACGCAATTTACAGCTAATATTGTGGAGGGATGACGAGACACACCCTTAAAACACTACAACTGAAAACTGTCACATATATATACATTGTAGGACCGCCTCGGCTCATTACCTGAGCACAAGATGCCTCGTGCAGCTCGCCGAAGAGTGCACTGATGAAACCGTTGCTGATGTCATTAAACATTAAGGATTTTATTTTAACGATTTGAGAACTAGTTCAAATAATAAATCCGAGTTAAAGAATGTTGTTCAAGGAGTCATTCTCAAACTATCTGAAGCATGTTTTCATTTGCGAAAGTTTCGTACAAACGCTCCAGATATTTTCGCTGATATACCTACCATTAGTCAAAGATTTTTCTAAGGAGTCCTCTGCTTTGGGTTTAAAGTTTCAGCATGTGCGGAAGCTGATCCAAACACTACCAAAAGAAACATTCTGTCCACATCGTGTCGAGTGTTCGATCCTCTGGGCTTGTTGTCAGCATGCACTGTTACGCCAAAATTATTATTACAAAGGCTATGATTAATAGAACTAGATTGGGACCAACAAGTGCCAGAAGAGATCGGAGACTCGTGGCGAGACTTCTTACACAATTTTCACTACATTACTAACATACAAGTACCACGACATGTTTTGTGCGAGAGTCCTGTCAGTGTTGAGATTCATGTGTTCACAGACGCGCCGCAGCATGCATACGGTGCATGTCTGTATCTAAAGTCTCACGATATTTCAGGAGAGGTTCACGTTAATTTGCTCTGCGCCACGACAAGAGTCGCTCCTGAAGCTTGAAGCCTGAGATGACTATTCCTCGTATAAAACTATGGGCGCACTACTAGGAGCTCGTCTGTACGCTAAAGTGACAAAATCTCTCCGTATTAATGTTTCTATGTTTTGGTCCGATTCTAAAATTGTGCTAGGTTGGCTTCGAACAACACTAAAATCAGCGGCGATATCGAGACAGTGCTAGGGGGTATGAAATCGGCTATTCTCTACACACGTCGCTGGCAGTCAGTACGTAACCGATCGTGCAACAGACTGCTCGTTGATCCGAGATGCCGCCGACACTCTCAAAGCAGCAAAAAATAGGCATTGTCTTAGCACTTACTATGGTGCCACCTAACCAGAAACGAAAAAGGAGGACCTGGGTTAAAAACTGGTTGATGAAACGTCATGAATTAAGCCACATGAACGTGATGAGACATTTAGAAGCAGATGAGTTCAGAAACTTTTTAAGAATGGATTCTGAGTGTTTTGAAGAACTCCTCAATATGGTGACACCATTAATACAAAAACAGGATACCGTAATGCGAGAATCCATAAGTCCGAGAGAACGACTTACAGTTACTTTACGTTTTCTAGCAACTGGACAAAGCTATGAGGATTTAAAATTCAGTGCCGTAATATCGCCGCAACTTATGTCCACAATGATTCCAGAGACATGCTCCGCTATCTATAAATGTTTGAAACACTTCATTAAGGTAAGTAGACTAAATTCTTATAGAGTAATTAAAACACCAATGAAAAACCATTTTTTCATTTATTTAAAAATATAAGGTATGTATTAATATTATTTACTTGTGTTCTTTTTTTTTGAAGATCAAAAAATCCTTCATATCTGCGCCAGTTCCTATTTTAATTGTTGTATCACTACAGTTTGGAAATTCAGTGTTAAAAGGTTCAGTGTTCGACGATGAAGAATACGGCTGCGGAGATGTTTGAGGGGATTGTGGTATCATATAATCTTGGGATGGTTGAGGAGAAGGTTGTACCGTAAGCTGTGAAGATATTTGAGGGGATTGTGGTATCATATAATGTTGGGATGGTTGAAAAGAAGGTTGTAGCGTAAGCTGTGAAGATGGTTGAGGAGATTGTATTGTCATATATTGTTGGGATGGTTCAGGAGAAAGTTGCACCGTATGTTGTAGAGATGCTTGAGGGGACTGTGGTATCATATATTGTGTAGATGATTGAGGGGACGGCTGTACTGGATATTGTTGATAATATGGTTGGGGCGATGAATTTGTCACCGAAGAGCCAGAGGAAAAATGATAGGAGCGATGTGAAATGCGAGAAGGATTTGATGCTGTGTGTTGTGGAGATAAAGTGATAATAGATTCGTCTGTCAATTTGCCAAGTTTTCCATAAAATAGGGCATCATTGATAATTTTTTGGGCAATTGATTGTTGATGGGTACTCAGATTTTTCAATTGAACGCCTATTGACTTTCCTATAATGTCCCAGTCGTCATCTTGTCGAGTCATTAGTATCTGAGCAGAATCCAGCAGTTTTTCTTGTCTACTTTGTATAGACATTTTCTGCTTCTTGGACTGTGAAATTTTTGTGGAGACCTTGGGCACCTCTTTTTCACATATTTCTGTATTTATAATTTGTTCCGATGATGTTGATGCTGACATCTCTGGTGACCATTGGATCTGTAATAAAACTTTCACTTTACTTTCTGTTTCAGATGCCTACAACGCAAAGTGAATGGAAAGACAATGCTAAAATGTTTGAAGACAAGTGGAACTTCGATCACTGTGTGGGTGCGATAGATGGAAAACATATATCCATAGAAAAGCCACCTGAGAGTGGCTCGTCATTTTATAATTATAAAGGTTTTTTTAGTATAGTTCTATTCGGCGTAGTAAATGCAAATTATGAGTTTATGTATGTACACACTGGCATTAATGAAAGCGTTTCTGATGGTGGCGTCATACAACACACATCCCTGTACAATAAGTTAATGACAAATGAGTTAAATCTACCACCACCGTGCACGTTACAGGGAACAAATATTTCAGTACCATACGCATTTTTGGGAGACTCAGCATTCAGCATTAATAGACACATTATGAAGCCATACCCATTTAAGAATATAACTCACGAGAAAAGAATTTTCAACTACAGATTATCACGAGCAAGGAGAGTAGTTGAAAATGCGTTTGGAATCTTAGCAGTACGTTTTAGGATCTTTCGTCAAAGAATAAGTGTGAAAATTGATAATGTCGACAAAATTGTGCTAGCTTGTTGTGCCTTACATAATTATTTAAGAACAAAGTCCAAAAGTTATATGACCAAAACATGTGTCGATGCTGAGAATATCCACAATTCTACTTTTCGTTTAGGTGATTGGCGGGAAGAAACAACAGGACTAGTGTCACTGTCGCAAATAAGTGAAAAAGAGCGCAATAATGAAGGCAACATTGTACGCAATAAATTTACAACTTATTTTAATGAACAGGGCAGAGTTTCTTTTCAGGAGGATATGTTGAGGGTAGTTCCTACATAAATGTTGTGTGTATTGTGTATATTATAAATAAAATATAGGTTTATGAATTACTTCAGTATTATTTTATCGTACCTCATCCAAAGTATCCGTACCAGGTCGGCATGGCTCCGTCGTCCCCTCTAGGAATTCGAAGAGACGATAATACCAAACCGATGGTACATAGATGTCATTAGACCCTGATCCTGTTTGCTTGGAAGCATTCACCTGAAACAAGTGAATTGATACAAATTTATCAAAATACTTTTATAAATTGATAGTATTTTATTTTAACGTGTAAGGACCCATATAGGTACCTACTTATATTTTGCTGACTGGATACAAATGACATCTATAGATTTTGATAATCTCCTTTAGCTGTATACCATATGAAAACATAGCCCTCCTCTTGTAGCTGTAAATATTAGCTGGTTTCTATTGGCGAATCTCTATATATAGTCTTTGCACAGATTCTACATAATCTTACCTTTTTCAGCTCTCTTCCATACGTAGTACGCATATTTTCAAGCTTTTTCTTGAAGTCCGCCAGTGTTGTGTTTTTGCCGGTCTCTTCATTAAAAAGTTGCAATAGCATTTTGAATGCCTCCTGTCTCATGTCGCGGTTGAAGTATTCTTTGTGTTTTTTATCCCACAAATAAGATAATTCCCTGAAGAGATCAATAGTTTTCGTCCACGCTTCTCGCTCCTTCTCCTTCGCCATGTTTTCGCGCTAAACAAAGAGTATAACCTACTACAGGAAATAAAATAAATGGCGCGAAATAACTCGGACCAGCGCAAGCACGTCGTATCGCCGTAGCACTCGCGCGCATACTGATAAAAATCAGTCCCGATTCCGCTACACACGTGCCGACCACGCTCCCTAGACGATAATCGTCCCTAAATCGTGAGTTCGCCCGAAGCGATTTTTGAATTAGGGTAAACAATAAAATTTCAGTTACGATTTGTCTATGCACGTGTCGATTTAAAGTACGATCTAGGGACCTCCCCGATATCGCCACTGATTTTAGTGTCGTGTATAGCCGCTATTAGACCCATCAGTGTAAATTATATAAGAATCACGATAAGTTTCATGTATTTCGCTTAAAGTTATATTTTTAATTTGATTCAGTTCATATTTCTTTTTAGAATTTTCAATTGCGTCTAAATTAGATTTTATTACATTTTGAATATTAATATTGGTTACCCAAGTGTCTAGAGAAAAGGTTTCCAAGAGGGGGGATGATTTAATTGGCTCGCACTTAATCTCCTCAAGAATACTGACAAGTAATGGAAGCCTCTTATTAGACCAATAACTGATGTGTCTAAAATCACTAAGTTCTGAGAGTAATTTAATTGTTATGTTATCTGATAATGACCGACATTTTAGACAATATTTGTATGCTAACCATCTTCTTCTTAAATGCAGTGGAAACACACAGAGCTCACACTCCATCACGTGAATTGGAGTAGTTCTTATGAATCCCCCTATCATTCTTAAAGCTTGGTTTTGGTCTTTTTCTAGCTTATAAATATTTGATTTTGCACTGTTATCGTATGGAAAACAACCATTTTTTTTTTTTTTAACGTGTGGAAATCCCCTCGGACCGTCACCCCGCCGGGGCTCTCGTTCGGCGGGGCGGTGTGTCGGACTCGAACCGACTAAAACCACACGGTGTGCCCTCTTTGCGCTTCCAGTTTAGGAGGGGTCCAGGTAGTTATCGCCTTCTGGACCCCTCCCAGCGCCGGCCCGCTCCTGTTGCGGGCTCCGTCTCAAAGTTTCCTCTCTTTAGGCGGCGTCCGGCACACGCGGATGCCGCCCCCTCGCGGCTGGCCAACTAATGCGGGTGGAGGGGAGAACCCATCCCGTCCACCCGCGGCCACACTCAGGGCGGCATGAGGCGCAGGTAAGCGCGCCTCCGCCGCCCGGTTCGCCGGCGGCGGATCAGGTCCGAGTGGAGGTCGTCCTCCCGGGCCTTCTCCGCCGCCTCTTTCTGCGAGATTACCTCCTCGCAGAAGGTTGCGACCGCGGTAAAACAACTGTCGCTACCGGCCATAGGGCGAATTACGGCCGGTAGCGAGAGATCTGCTCCGATGACTGCAGTGAGGGCCCGGCGGGGCAAACCGCCAGCGTGTGCTGGGCCGAATCCTCACTGCAGTCGCAGTGGTGGCAGGCGGGACTCGATTCCCTCCTAGCGACCGAGTACAGGTACTTTCCGAAACAACCGTGCCCGGAAAGCACCTGCGTCAGCCGGAAGGAAAGGGTCCCGTGCTGCCGCCCCGCCCACTCGGCGATGACCGGCTGGAGAGCCTCCACGGCGGCGGAGCCAGCGCGTGGAGTCTCCAGCCGGAACGACCATCTGACCATGGTGGCTCGGCTTCGCGCCACTCGCTCACGTCTTCGGGCGGAGGGCGAAATTCGCTCTCCGCCCGGAAGTCAGCCACTCGCCGATAAACTTCGGATGGAAAACAACCATAGCCTAACCTACTTCGGACTAATGCAATGTATAATCTACGTAAATAAATCTGATGTGTGCCCCAAGAAGGATCTGCTAGAATTTTCAGTAAATTAATTAGCTTTTGAACTTTTTCCGTGACTTCGTTAATGTGTTTACCCCAAATTAATCTCCTGTCAAACCAAACCCCCAAATATTTATAATTATCCACTAATTCAAGCTCAATATCTTTTACTAATAATTGTGTTTGTTGTTTCTTAATTCCTCTACTAAAGATACAATATTTAGATTTGCTACTGCAACTCGTCCAACAGAATTATGAAACTATTTATAGCGTTTTGAATCTTATCCTGGGCCACTGAAATAGTAGTAGTATTGGCATATAAACACATTAGTAATGTCTTGACAAAATTTATAAGTTGCTATGTTAAAAAGTAGGGGTGACAGGGGATCACCTTGAGCTAAACCTTTTCCCAGATATCTTATCATGTCCGCCCCTCCTACATGGTTATTAGATATCTTTAGATGCCGCTCACTTAGGAAATTCCATAGATAATGACATAACTTTTTACCAACATTTAGAATGTCTAGAAGGCTTAATAATTTTTCTATTACTACATTATTATACGCACTTTTGATATCCATAAAGCAAGCAAGAGTGTGACAACTTTTTGAATATCCTATCTGAATTTGCGTTACTAAACGTGTCACACAATCTAGTGCAGATTGACCCTTCCTGAAGCCCGTTGCATATGTAGACAAAATTTGATTACTTTCAACATGCCATTCAAGTCTTTTAGCAATCATAGCATGAAAAATTTTGCAAGTGCACGATATCAAGGATATAGGTCTTGGTTTGCTACCTAGATTATCACCTGACTTTGGAATTAGAATAACTCTAATATCGCGCCATTGGAATGGAACATCGCCTGAATTTAATATCATATTAAAAATTCTAATTAAATACAATTTTCCTACCATTGGTAACTGTAATATCATGGAGTAAGTAACCTTGTCTTCGCCCGGAGCGGTGTCTTTTTTCTTTAAACAGTGATTCATTTCTTGTAGTGTAAAATCCGTTTCTAATAATATATTTCTAGACTTAAATAATGGCATAGAAGGAACAACGTAATCAGGTGCCAGATCACATAACATTTCTTCAGAAAAACTATATCTGGCTTTTTTATAGCCTTTCACCCAACTTAATCGACGCCATATGTTAGGCGCTGACACCCTATCGCTGATGCTTTCGCATAATTTCTTATAATCATTTGACTTAGCCGTTCAAATAGCTCGTTTAGCCTTAATAGCTTTTTCTTGATAAACTGATAAATTTAGGGGTGTTGGATTTCTTCTAAAATTACGTAAAGCCAGCCTACGTTCACCAACTAATTTCGAAAGATCTGGACTCCAGTACCCCTTTGGTCTAAAATTATTATTATTTGGATTATTACACGTTTTAATAAAAGGAATAATTTCATCAGCTGCCCTATTTATTTTATTGATAAAGTCGTCATACGTCACCTGAACATTGTCAGGTACAGGACCAGAAAAGCAATCCACAAGATATTGTTTGTATTTATTCTAGTCAGCCAATTTATAATTTCGCATTTTATCAAAGTTGATTCGCTCCCTATACATTACTTGAACTTTAACAAATAAGTGAGCACTTCCTAAACTTTCGTTAAAAACCTGCCAGTCAAAATTGACAGCTATGTCTGCGGATGCAAACGTAATGTCAGGTGAGGACCTTTGTAGGATATTATTAACTAATTTAATTCTAGTTGGCTGTCCATTGTTAAGAGATGTGTATCCAAATTCAATCGCCGATTCAAAAATCTGTTTACCCCTATTATCAGTCTTGTACGACCAGTTCGTATGATGAGCATTAAAATCTCCAACAATCAAGCAATGTTTTGGGAACATAGAAAAAATATTATCCCAATCTGATTGTGTTGTATGAACTGAACTAGGACAATATATCAAAATTATATGTCGGACATAACTACAGTTATTTATCCTAATACACAGCAACTCGATCCCTGAATTATTCACATTAATATTTAGTTCCTGAACGTTTACTGAATTATGTGATATAATGGCTACGCCACCATAAGAGTCGCTTCTATCGCGTTTATAAATGTTATATGGATTAAAGTTAACACATACCCTCTCGTCCAGCCAAGTTTCGCTAATTAATGCTATATGTACTTTCTCTTGTAATAATAAACATTTAACCTCCTCTAGCTTAGGTCTTAAGCTCTGTGCATTCCACTGCATTATATTTAGATTAATATCTTTATATAAACCAGCCATCTTTAAATATAGATACAATTTTATTTAAGACACCTTCTTCCTTCAGTAACTTCCAAACAAACTGAAAACATTCTTCTAATATAAAGCTACATAATATTTTAATTTTCACATCCAAACTATTTTCAGATGAACAAACTCGTTTTACAGTACATGATAATCTCTCTTTAAAATCAACAATGCGATTTGTGTTCTCATCTTGGTTTTCGGTTATTTCTTGTTGTATTGAGTTTTCTTTTATATAACATGAGGCATTACGATTTTGATTACTTTTCTTTGTCTTTTGTTTTCTCTTCACTGGTTTATTTAAGATGACAGATTCTATCGACTCTTCCATACTATGTTCTTCTAACTCTTCACTGTCCGTCACAATCTGCTGTTCGCTTGTTTTTGGCGCAGCGATATCTGATTGAATGTGCGCCAGTAATACGTTCGTGTACGATGGTTTTTCTTTATTAATACTAGTTTTATTGTGAATGCCCTCTATTAAATGTCGATGTTTGGGTTTTTCTTTTAAATGTTCTAAATAAAAAAATAAAGCTTTTCTATAAGTGTAGTTTTTATCACACATGATTTTTCGTATCTGTTTTTCCCTAATGAATATGGGACATGATTTTTCTAAAGCCATATGATTACTTTTACAATTTACACATTTGTAATTAGTAGTATCACAGTTGTTGTGCTTTTCTCCACATTTTGGGCATCTTATAATCCTTGTAGGGCAAAATTTTGACAAATGACCAAACCGCCAGCA